CCTCCTCCTCCTCCTCCTCCTCCTCCTCCTCCCCCATCCTCCCCCTACCCGGGTGACCGTGCGCGACCAAACGGTACTCGGCGGGGGCACGGCCGCCCCGCTCGCCGTGGCCGCTAAAAACTCGACAGGCGGAGCCGCCCCGCGGGCGTCACGCAGGCGGCGTGCGGCCCCGCCTCCCCGCGATTGCTTCAAACCGTAGCTCGTTGGAAGTGTCTGGCGAACGTGGAACATACACGGAAGCATAGGCGACAACTGTCGCCAACACTGCGACGAAATGGCAACTGCAACGACCAGCTCTGGTTCCTCCTCGATGCCCGTACGCTCCACCCTCCCCCTCCTCCGCCTCGCTCTCGCTGGGGGCCGAGAAGACTGCATCTCAAGCTGTATCAAAGAGACGGCGCATTCCGCGCAGAAGACGCACAGATGCGGCCGGCAGCCCCGCCTGCCACGCGCTAAGCTACATAGCCCCGTGCGTGCGCCCGGCGTCCTGCACTGCCTCGGGGCGGTGTTCCACCGCCCTCGAAGGCTGCTCGACCCGCACAACCATGGATAATCTGAGGACGAGCCCTCACCTTAGAATAACAGAACACGGCGTAACCATACGTAACCATGCTTTCTCCGAGATCCGCTCGGATTTCTCGGATCGGCGCTGGACCCTCCTCCCTGGCACGCGGGGCGCGCCAGGGGCGGCGCAGGAGGCGCAGCCAGGGGGGGCCCAGCGCCGATCCAAGAGATCCGCGCGCAGCCCCGAGCAATGATGCGTATGCCGTTTTCAGTTCTTCCATGTTCTCTTGAGGGCTGTAGCCGATGGGATAACATTCGGTTGCGCCTGCTGGCACTTGTGGCCGAATGCGCAAAGCGCTACGGCGTCCAGCTGCATCGGTCGCCGCACGCCGGGCGGAGCGCGCCCGCCGCGCGGGAGGTGAAGGGCGCCGAGGAGGCGCAGTGCTCGGCGGGCCCAGGGATAGTGTCACCGCAGACGGTTGATCCACCAGGTGCCTTCGGTGGTTGCTGGCGGCGCGCAGACACGGCCCGCGCCTTCTAAGACACAGCCTCCCTCTAAGAGGCCGTCCCCCCTCCCCCACACACACCCCTGTGCGCGTGGCTGGCGTTGGTGCGCCGAGGAGGCGCAGAACTCGGCGGCGCCCAGCGACGGTGTCACCAGCGCGCGCCAATACACTCCAAAGACGGAGTCACGGGGACACATGAGACTCTCATGTTGTGCTGCCGACCAAGACTGCCCTCCCCACCTCTCTGAGCCCGACCCCCGCACGCTGGTGCTCCCGCACCGCTCCTGGGGAAAGCAAAGGGTACTGATACCGCTACTTCGTGGTGCGTTCTGACCAAGGTTCCGAGGCCCAGCGGTGGCGAAGACGGCCTTTCAAAAGGCCCCCAAAACGCGAACACGAGGCAAAGCAAGCGGCACGCCGTGACGCTGCACCTGCCTCGAATCTCATAGTGCAAGGGTGGGGGTCACAAACCTCCCCAGCGAGCCCTTCAAGCCCCCCCCTCAGACCAGCTCGGACCCCCAAGAACCCTCCAAGACAACTCAAATCAGACCCCCTCCCAAATGTGACCACCCCCCTTTGATTCCGGAATCCTGAGCACCTGTTTGAAGGGGCCCTGGGACACACGAATGGACAGACACACATCCCAGGATTCCCCAGTTACTTTTCAGATCCGTTCTGCGTGTTGGTCTTCCCCCCACTTCCCCTGGTTTCCCATCTTTCCCTGGGGATCGACGACTACTCGTGTCTGTGTGTGTGCTTTTGCCCCCCTCCTGACTTCTGCTCCTCGGGAACGGCCAAGAGGGGGGTGTCCAAGAGGGGGGGGGTGCAAATCATGACCGGCGGCATGTGCGCGGCCCAGCGGGGGGGGGGCCAGGGACATGATGAAATAAGCAGAGGCGCCATGAAATCTGGGGAAATATCATGGCCCCCGCCATGATATCCACCCCCCCCCTAGTCATCACCCCCCTCTTTTGAAGGGGCCCCAGGACACACAAATAAATACACACAAATAAAAATATCCCCCATATTTTCATATATTTTCTGGGTATTTGTCTTCCCCCCCACTTCCCATATTTTCGCATATTTTCTGGGAATCGCCGATTAATTGTGTCTGTGTGTTTTTTTCCCCTCCTGACTAGTCATCACCCCCCTCTTTTCCGTCCGCGATGACTTCTGCTCCCCTCCGAGCTCCCCTCCACCCGGGCCCCGCCGCCCCAGCGCCGGCAGGCCGCCTCAGAAGCCGCGCGCGGCGGCCTGGGCCCTAGGCCGCCGCCAGGGGCCCGGCGGTGGGCGCCTGGTCCGCGGTGAGCATCCCCTGGTCAGGGAGACGTAAGACTCCTCAGATGGTCTCCCCTCCCCGGGGGGGAGGCGACCCTCCCCACGCTCTTCTCCACCCCCAGACCCCCTCGGGCCATGAAAAAATCACGACGGGAGGTTTTTCGCTATTTTCGGCCTCTGGGGGCCCTCACCGGGCCTCGGGACCGTCAAAAAACAACTCGGGACCTCGCCCTCGGACCCCCAGGAACCCTCCAAGACCCTCAGATGGTCTTAACAGGGGGTATGTCGACCCCTATCCCAGGCTTCGTGGGGTTTCCGAATGGACCAGAAATTTGGGGCCTAACCCTGGGATATACGATGGGGGGGTGTCCATTCTCGATCGGGGTGCGTCCGAATAGCCCCCTTGGGGTGTAGCCCAAGGTTTTCCCATTCTTCTGAGCGGCCAGATTTTTCAGGCGAAACTCGGGGATTGGGGGAGAAACATCGCCCGCGAGGTCTGGTACCGGAAAAAAATTCGGTAGCGATTCCGACGCACCCCGAATTTCGGTAGCGACCGGGTCTTCGTTCGAGGGCGTTGGAAAAGCAGAATTCAGAACGGTCTGATACCGGTATTGGGCGCTACATTTCGGTATTTCGGTAGCGACCGATCTCTGCGGAGCGCTACCGGAAATTTTCGGTAGCGGACCATCAGGGTCGGGTACGGGGGACGCGGGTTGGCCTGACGGGGTCCATCATGACAATGACGAGACGCAATCTGAAATTTGACGCGAGCTCCCACTGCAAACATCCCACGAAAACTGGACCGTCAAAATCCAGGACGCGCTCGTCAAAAAAACGTCGGCAAATCCGAGTTCCGGCTTACCCGAGTCTTACGTTCCCCCGACCTGGGGCGCCGGCGGCAGCGCCGCCGGCGGTGCGCCCCAGTCGAAGCCCAGCCCGTCCTGGCCCGGGTGGCGCAGGCCCCAGTCGGTCTCCGCCTGCCTCGGCGGGAGCCGGTGCTCGGGGTTGCGCCTGTGGGCAAGCGCGTTCCAGGACTCGCAAGAAGCAGCTAGCGGCAAAATGGCCTGGATCCGCCGCGCGGGGTTCACGATCCAGGACGTCGAGGCAGGCACGGCTCTTGTGTTCCGACGTTTGCGACTGGGCACTTTGCGAGTGGTGGAACGCGCTCGGTGAGCCTGTGCAGGAGAGCCCATAATCGAATAGACAAGTCGGATCGGCGATCGAAACGAACCGGATCGGCGGATGTCGGCAGACATCGGCAGGCTAGTTGGCCCCCATTGAGAAATCGGACCCTAAATCGGAATCCGAAATCGAATCGAATCGGATTTGAAACCTGTCGAGATCGAAACGAAGGGAACCAGAGGCATCGACACGAGCCCTGGCCTGTGCCAGTCGTCCAGGTGCTCGTCCATGAAGCGGCCGGGCGCAGAGCTGGAGCGCTGGGAGGCCGAGCCCTCCTGGGGCGCGCTGCCGTACTCGGTATCCGCGTCGCTGATGATGGGCCTGCTTTCCGCCACCACCACCATCAGTTGGAGGGGGAGGAGGAGGAGGATGAGGAGGAGGAGGAGGAGGAGGAGGAGGAGGAGGAGGAGGAGGAGGAGGAGGAAGAGGAGGAGGAGGAGGAGGAGGAAGAGGAGGAGGAGGAGGAGGAAGAGGAGGCGGAGGCGGAGGAGGAGGACGAAGAGGAGGAGGAGGAGGAAGAGGAGGCGGAGGCGGAGGAGGAGGACGAAGAGGAGGAGGAGGAGAAGGAGGAGGAGGAGGAGGAGGAGAAGGAGGAGGAGGAGGAGGTGGAGGAGGAGGAGGAAGACTCCCCCCTCCAACTTGTGGTGGTGGTGGTGGAAAACAGGCCCATCAGCTGAAGTGGAGGAACGAGTTCTTCACTGAGCACCGGAAGGACTGCCCGCCCCAGCTCCACGGCGCCTCCTCGGCGGGCGGGTCGGGGTGCAGCGGCGCCTCGCGGCTCGCGAGGTGAGGGTGCTCCTCGTGGGGAAACTCTGGGGCGGCCTGGTGGCCCGGAGGGTGCTCTGCCGTGACGACGGCGGCGGGCGGGACCTGGAGCAGCGGCACCTCGCGACTCTGGAGGCAGGGGTGGCCCCAGCACGGCAGCTCCTGGGCCTCCTCGCCGAACGCCAGGTACTCCAGCGCGACGGCGCAGAAGAGCGGAGACGGTTGCAGAGGCACCTCCGCGACGCCCTCCTCTGGCCCAGACGGGGGGCGGAGCGGCTGCCCACGGTCGCCCAGATCGGCGCGGACGCGCTGGAGCGCCTGCAGCTCCTTGGGCCTGAGCGCCGCGGCGTGCTGCTCCGCGTGGGACACCAGCACCTCGAGGACCCCAGCGCATCCGGCGTCTGGCGGGGCCAGCGCAAAGGCCTTGAGGAGGTGGACCAGGGCGGAGGGCTCGAAGCAGTCGCACCTGTCGACCACCTCCTGGCCGAGGGCGCCAACGACGGGTGCCGAGCAGGGCATGCGCACCGCCACGAAGGCGGTGACCATGTTGGCCAGGGACTGCGCGGAGAACTCGGGCAGCCGGGTCATCAACCAAGGCACGACCGCCCGGAAGAACTCCGCGACCCGCGGCGGCGGCGGTGCGGCCTGGCCGTCCGGCGCCGAGTACTGCGCGGCAGGAGCGAGGGCCTTCGCCACGGCCAGCGCGGTAGAAGACCCCTCCTGCGGCTTTGAAGGGGGCCCTGGGACACACAAATAAACACACACAAATAAAATGATTCCCTATATTTTCTTATATTTTCTGGATTTCTGTTTTCCCCCCCACTTCCCATATTTTCCTATATTTTCCTGGCACTCGACGATTAATTGTGTCTGTGTGTTTCTTTCCCTCCTGAGGCTTGAAGGCCTCCAGCTGCGAGGTGCAGAGCGGCAGCAACGAGAGGGTAGTCCTCTGCGTCGCCGGGTGGTGCGGCTGCACCCGCGAGAAGGCCCACAGGATGTTCGCCAGGTGCTGCGGGTGCAGGTCCATGCGCTGCGCTTCCAGCCCAGATGCCGAGAAGAGGCCCTCGTGGAAGAAGCCGTTGGTGGCGAGGCCCCAGAGGAGGTTGGAGAGTTCCTGCGGCTTGAACTCGGGGAGGTGTAGCAGCGCTCTCTCGGCCAGCGCGAAGAAGAGCTGGTCGTCGTGGAAGCCAGCGGTGCCGAACGCCCACGCCGTGTTCGCGATCTCCTGGCAGTTGGCCGCATGCACCATGGGTATCATCTTCATGGCGATTCCGCGGAAGAGGCGTGGGTTGCGCTGCCGTGCAGTAGCGAATGACCAGACAACGGTTGCGAGGCAACGGAATCCAAACTGGTGCAAGTTGTTCGTCATGTGGTTCGCGGCGGCATAGAAGAGTGTCCTCGACTGTTTCCCAGTCGTGCTGTCGTCAACTGACCCGAGCTTGGCCAACGCCCACAGCGTGGTCGACATCTCGAAAGGCTTGAAATCGGCGATGCTCGTCACGGCCAGAGTGGTTGCTGCCTGGGAGGAGCAGAAGTGTTAAGTCGGGCCTGTCCCCCTACAGGCTGATTTTGGGCAAAAAATGAGAAATAATCAAGAAATGCCCCCAAATGATCAAAAAATATAAAAAATAGTCCCCTTTCTATTTTTTGAATATTTGGAATATTCCCCCTGTAGAGGGACAGGCCCGCCTTTACAGAAATGGCATAGACAAACTTATTCGGAGCTCCGCGCGGGCTTCCAGGATGGCGCCGGACCCCCCCCCGCACAGCGCGCCAGGGGGCGGCGCTGGAGGCGCCGCCAAGGGGGTCCCAGCGCCGCTCCACGAAGTGCACGCGGACCTCGAGAGATCATGCTTATGCCGCGCTGTGTCCTTCGACTCCGGTGACCTCGCCATCGCTCGGACGTCCATTCCCCGTGCACTTTTCGGCTTCGCGCGTGTATTTTTCGCACGATACTCCAGGATGTTCCTCGAATGGTCCTCGCCGAGGAAAACATGCACACGTCCGAGCGATGCCAGGTGACAGGGTGTTGGAAAAAATGGAGAGATTGGCGCTGGCCCCCCCCCCCATGGGGCGGCGCCCCTGGTGCCGCCCCTGCCGCGCTCCGCGCGCCAGGGAGGGGGGGCACAGTGCCGAGCCAAACAACCCGCGCGGGCTTCAGAGAGAGGATATGCTTATACAATGGTTGCTTCTCGCCTAGGCTGCTCCTCGGCTCTCGTCTGCCCGCGGTCCTCGTCCGCCTGCTGCCTCGGCTCCCGCTTCTGCCCCGTTGTCGTCCTCTCCTCGCCCCCGCCTCCCCTTCCTCCTCCTCCAACTCCTCCTCGTCCTCCTGCGCTTGGTCCTCCTCCTCATGATCGTCCCTCTCACCACAGCATGCGTCAACAACCGAAGTGCTTATGCCAAGTCTTCATATTCGAGCGCCGCGCGCCAGGGAGGGCCCCCCGCAGAGCCGATCCAAGAACACCGCGCAGACCTCACAGAAACTAACGATGCTTGCTTATGAATGTTATTTCTTCTTCGACGCGATGTGAGAGAGAGAGAGGGGGCACCGATCCGAGAAATCCACGCGGCCCAGGATCATGCTCATGCTGCCTTTTGTTCTACGCTGCCTGCAGCAACGGCGCGCTGTTCAGCCGCAGCGTGGCCAGCGACCATACGATGTTGCTGAGCGACTGCGGCTGCACTGCGCTCGGCTCGAGCGCCTCCAGGGCGAGCAGGATGGCGGCCTGGAGCTCCCGCAGCACGGGGTGCCGCCGCAGCTCCGCCTGGGCGCCGCTGTTGCCCGCGGTGACCTTCGCCAGCCGGTGGATGGCCGTGGAGAGGTTCACCTCCAGAGGTTCCCAGTCATGATTACTCGGAGGTGCGCGCGGATCTCTTGGATCGGCGCTGGGCCCTCATCCTTTGCGCGCGGAGCGCGGCAGGGGCGGCGCCAGAGGCGCCGCCAGGGGGGGCCCAGCGCCGATGCAAGAAATCCACGCGGACCTGAAAGGAACTCATACTGTGGAGGCCAGTCCACAAGTAACCTTCAACAAGAAACCCAACCCTGACCCCAGGACGTCCGTGGATTTTTGGTGTGGGAACGCCACGTTTTCCATAGCGAAACCATCGAAAACATCGAAACCCAGGGCACCCTGGAGGAAAGCAGGGCCCCTTGGCATGGGCTCCACTGCAGAATGCAGCGTTTTTTTTCCCGAACCTCCGCATCGCGTGTTTTTTTGTGTTTTGTTGTGTTTGTTTTTTGATGTGTTTGTTGTTTGATGTGTTGTTTTGTGTTGTGTTGTTTGTTGTTTCTTTTGTTGTGTGTTTCTTGTGTGTGTGTGTGTGTTGTGTGTGTGTGTGTGTGTTCCCCCACCCCACTGTGTCATTTTCCCACAATGTTTGTTTGTTTTTTTGTTTTTTTGTTGTTTTGTTTTTTTCCTCCCCCACAGAACCGTCCCCCTTCCCAGGGGCCACGCCATCTCGGCCCCACTGGCCCACGCCCCCGGGGGCGGGGACGGGCCCTCGCGGAAGCCGGAGGGACCAGCACACAGGTGTCCCCATCCAGGGGGGGTAGAACCAGCCAGTGGGGCCAAGGTCTCCAAATCCTCCTCCTCCTCCTCCTCCTCCTCCTCCTTCTCCTCGACATGCCAGTGTGTACGCGGATCGTTCAAACTACGCTCGTCGTCACCAGGTTCATCTGGCCGAGGTGGGCCGTCGTGGTGGCCAGCAGCTGCTGGACGCCCTGCTCCGAGGCGGCGATGATCTGCGAGTTGATCCACGGGCACGAGGCCCTCCTTTGCTCGC